AGCGCATGTCTGTAATTCCGGCTACTTGGAAAGCTGAGGCGGAAGGATCGCCGGAGCCCAGCAGGTCGAGGCTGCAGTGGCCAGAAGTGGCCACTGCACCCCAGTCTGGGTGACAGAGTGAGACTCCAACTCAAAAAAAAAGGTAGAATGTGTTCCTTTCCATTTTTCAAAAGTATATAGATGAGATTTATTTAGGACTTTGACATTCGGGTGGGGTCTGCTGTTGTGGTAGGCCAGTGCAAACTAGCAGAAGTTCAGACGAACTACCAGAAAATCCTGAGGAGGACTTGCTGGACGGCAGTTCTTAGAGGAGTGTCTCCCCCGTTTCTTCAGATTGGAGCATCTAAGCTGAGGGTTCAGGCAGTGGATCTGACTCAGGGCAGCAGTATTAACTGTGAAGTAGGATGAAGACATATTTCTAGTGGCCCAAACAAGAGGAGCCTCTGGAAGCTTAAATAAAAGCTGAGATCTGGCTTGATTGGGAAGATTAATTTCTTATCACCTTATAAATACCAAATGGTGGCGAGATGAAGCCCTTACAAGATGAGTGACTACATTTCTTGAGCAAGTAGTAACAGAACACCTTCTGAAGGTAAAGCAGGAACTTGAAGTGGTGCCGGGAAAGAAAACATTGCTGCATGGCCATTTAGCAACCGGGTAAGACAGACCTAGGCTTCTGGGAGGCAGTATGGTGGGCCTGTATCAGGGTATACTAGGCATAGGTTGTGTGGTCTAGTCCCCTCTGGCAGCCAGCTCTTCCTGTAAACTGTCATCTTTCCTGGTATCTACCTAATTACAAGAACAACAAAAAAAAAACCAAACACTTTTTCCACCAGTTTTTCATGGTCCCCACTGTTCTACATCGACCCTGGCATTTCACCACCTCTCCTCAAGTGTCTGCCATTGCAAAACATTCATATGCTGTTGGTGATTAAAGTATGTGGATGTTAGAAGTTCATGCAGCAGACGTTTGCTATATAATGCAAGACCAGCCTTACTTACAATTTAAACACTTTAGGCTGTAAACTGTACAGTGTGACTTAAGAGGTAACCAAAAATCTCTGCCTCACAACACACACACGCACACACTATCCCAGTGACTCTTTGCTTTGCTTGTAGTTTAATCACCATGGACATAGATTGTATGGGATTAAATCAGCCTTCTCATTCTAAGTGCTTAATATGCATAGCATCTGTCAGCAATAAGGCTACAGCCTCCTGTTTCCTGAACAGAATCATAGAACAGAGCTTAACGGTGGGTTATAGGTGTGATATGAGACAGTCACGGTGGGAAATTTCTTACAATGATAAAACTGCAAACTATTTAAGAGCCACGTGAAATCAGCAACAGCTGCAGTTAAATTTGAAATTTGAGCACTGTTGGTAGACTTCCTGGGTTAGCACTCTGATTTCCGAAGTTATTCCGACAGGTAAGTCTATGCCTATATCCTGCCGCTAGTGGGCGCTGTGCTGTGTTTATGTGACAGCGGTCCCCAGATGTGCCACACAGGTATTGGCATTTTATAAGATTAACTTTTGCATTTGATGTATAGGTCGCATCTATTCTCCCTTTATGTAGTAAAAGAAGGGATATTTTTAAATGCAGCAAAAGAAACAGCAAAACAAAACTCAGAATGAAAAACTCCTTTACATTTAGTGCATTTAACACTAGGAAAAACACACTATGTTGTGTTTATTTCTCTCATTTTGCCAAAGACCCGCCACACTTCATCGTAAACCAGCTATAGGTTGGAAAACACTGGAAAGACCTGCTTGGATGAAGGCAGCTGGATGTTAATACCGATCTAAAGGTGTTGGAAGCCTGTGTGGGATATGCAGAAATTCCAGGTTATCCTCCAATTGGATTTTAAGCAGTTCAGTAATAACATTTATTTGCATTTCTTAAGCATCAACTGAGGATTGGAAGGCATGGGCTGAGAAGCATCTGGAGATTTTTTTTCTGGAGGGACAATTAAAAAATACTAGCTAACGCTATGCTAAGTACTGAAGATCCATAAATATTCAAATAAGACTGTTCTTCCTACTTGAGGAGCTCAGAGGGAAAACAAGCATTCAGTAACTGAAGGGTTAGTGAGGTACAGGCTGCATAGACGTGTCTGTGCAGATATAGAGACAGCATGGAGAAAGCTGTGGTGCCGCTGTTTCCTGGGTGGGATGTGGCTCTTGCTGTTCTGAAACATGGAGGGATCTTAAGGTGACTGATCTCTGAAGAGAACTCGGGTTTCCCAGAAGTCACTTCCTTTACCTATGGAAGCCCTTCTAGAAGAGCATTGCTACAAAGAGTGTTTCCAGACTTGGATTCCAGAATACTATTGATCCTTTTTTACTTTCCATTATGTCTGAGGAACCTTTTTCCTTTCCCCATCAGTGAACTTCAGAGGCCTTCACTGTTAAAAATGACAGGTGCAAGGAATCTTGACTTTATGTGAATTTGATTCTATACTTTTCATGTTACATAGTAGAAGGCTTGAAACCAAGTAGGGATTAACTTATAAATTAGTGAATGATGTGGAAGTGCTCAGACCACCTAATGCCATGACCAGGAAGAGGCCTGGCTGGAAACCTGGGGCTCAGATGCCCAGGACAGGCAGTTCACTTGCTGAGAGATTTATCTGTGGAAACAGGGCCTCAGACATCATCTGGTGGACAGGCTTTTCATTATAATTATGCATGGTCCCTACCTCAGTCCCACTGGGAGACACACTGTGATTTGTTTTTAAAAATAAGATGAATCCAAAGATTCAATAAAACCTAGCAGTCATTGCAATAGGAAATACTGCATAGAAAAATACATTTTTAAAGATAGTCTGGTGCTGTTGTGATTCTTTGATCTAATGTCTATGTGTTAGTGACTTCATGAAGATTTATAACTATTTGGCAGATACATGAACCACTCCCATTTTCATAGATTTTTTTTTTTTTAATTTTAAAATAATGACATAGTTTTGTGTGATAGGAAGCCACCTTGTTTTTAAAGAAGTTTCACAATGGGCTTTTATTATGCAAGCATGCTGTTTTTCAATAAAGTCATTCAAAGAGATGTTTTCCTTCATATTACTTTGAGTAATTTATAAAAAAAAAGACAGTTAGTGATAATTGCTAAGAAACTGTTCTGCAAGTCATAAGCCTGTATTATTGGAAAGCATGTAACAGGTGTTCCGCTTTCTCTGTATACACATTCATTCTGTATTCAAATCACAGAAGCGAGAGGCAGGACAGGGCCTGCTACCTCACTGCTCATTTCCCTGGCAAATAAACCAGCAGCTGCTGGCCCACGTTCCGAGTCACCACCAAGAACAGGCACTGTGTGCATGGGACAGGATGCTTGCATGGAGCCCTGCGGTGGCATGGTTGGCACCTTTCGGTGCAAAATGTACCTCCTTCTCTTAGGTAAGGCCTTGCGTGGTGTTTTAGCTGGTGTGTGTGTGTGTGTGTGTGTGTGTGTGTGTGTGTGTGTGTGTGTTTATTGTGAGCAAAAAATAAATATTTGCTTTAGGCTGTAGATTCACTCAATAATTGAAGAGCAGGTCAGAACCTTATAACAATAACACTGTTCCAGCAGAGAAACAGGAACATTTAGGAGAAATGAGTTTCAATAAATAGATCAGAATTGTTTTCTTGGAACAACATTTATTGTCAAGAGCACTCAAAATTAAGACATTCTAAAAGTCTAATGATTTTTTTTTTTAGCGTTTACTAGGTTCAGTAGTCTTTAATGTATTTATTGTGACAAATATTCTAAAGGCCTTGAAATTATGACTACTTAGAGTGAAACTCAGAATAATTTATGAAAATGGCTTTCTTTTTCATTGAAGACACTGCAGCAAACTGTTGACTCGGCTTCATTTTAAATTATCTGCCTCATCTTACTAAATATGGAAAAAAGTAAGGTTCCGAACTTACAAAAATATTTTAAACACAAAAGGAAGGATTATTAAAAAGGATTATTATTCCAAAATGCCTTTAGCTTTTCTCTTTGCCCAATGGCTAGTCTTAGGAGGAATTTTTTCTGTACCTTGATATTTTCCCTCATTCTCCTCCTTATTCTTGACATTTACAAGACTCTCTTTCCATCATTCCTACTGTTCTTATCTGTCAACTTTATATTCAGTAAATTTTCTGTTTTCCATTCTTCCTACGTATTGGTTTTAAAAGTCAAGTTATCTTCTTGTTTATATTCAGCAGATATGAATTGTAAAAAGGCTATATTTAAAAAATTTTAAGAACCATTTTGCTAGATAAGCAATTTAAGGTTTTAGACTTAATTCAGTTATCCTGAACCTTGCTCTTGTATATTTTATAAAAGTTTTCATCGTAAATGTGGTTGCTATTCAAATTGATACCTAAAGCATCAATAATTAGTGAATATCCCACATATTTGAAGTGTATAGTCTATAAATATTTTTGAGATCTTTGATTGTTCCAGTTATTACCATGCTTATGTTAACATATTCAAACCTATAATCGATTTTTTGTTTTTAAAATTTTTTGGAAAATTAAACAATTGTCATAACTTTATCTTTGTGCATTTTTCTCAGTTTTGAAAGCATCCTGTGTCCTTGTCTCACTCATTTTTAATTTTAAGAACTGCTATCATTTTATAAATGTTGTTTTTGTAATTAGCTTTAAAGAAGAACTTAGAGACAATTTGGTTGATAATTTTTTTAAATAAAGTGTATTTATGGAAGTAACATGTCCATAAATAGTTAAAGCAATTATTGTACCTTAAGACTTTCTTTCTTGTGCAAATTCACTTTTCTGCATAGGTATTATAAAGACCACAGGTAACATGAAAGTCTTTTTGCTTTTAAGAATATTTAATTTTTGTTTATTTCTTTTTTAAAAAACATCTAAAACTTTTGAAGCCTAATATTATAGTTTGTACAATCTATTCAGAATACAACTTTGTAATTTCTATTTTCCCTAAAGATGCAAGAATTTATTTTCAGTCAACAGTAGTTGTGTTATACTTGCTAATACCATGCATGATCTTGGGGAAGTAAACACCAGCTATTTTGAGCTATAGTAGAGGTCACTTTGTGAAGTCTGATGTTTGTATTCAATACAGTAAAACTGGTCTAGGGAGCCCTTTGTTGCTAGAATATAGATAAATTTTACAGTAGGACTTCAGGTGTTCCTTAATGCTGGATACTTCTTATTAACACTTGTTATGCAGTATAGAAGGGTCTGTAAAAGGGAAATTATTGCTATAATTTTGTATGTCAAGTTATGAATGGTATTATCAGTGTTTCTCTACATTGGTGTAATTCTTTTATGCAAAAAGTTGAAGTTTTCCTTTCTTATACACAGAAAGTATTAGTGAGTCTAATAATAAAATTGAATTCCCAAATAAAGTCCAAATATTTTGAGTATCCACAAGAAATTAAAATTTCATCAACTATTACGTTACTTATTTCCTTGAAGTTTATCTGTTCATACAGAGGATGATTTTCTAATCAGTAATTTTAGTTCTTTAGGTTTTCTCATACAACTAGAAAAGAGCTCTTGAAAACTTCTCAGAATGAAGATAATTTCTCTAAAACCAGTAGACTGCTGTGTTTGACAGTATGGATTATTGCATGTGTCATGAGAAACACAGCAAAGGCATATGTGTTCCCAAAATATAGAGGAAACATTCAATTACCTGTTTATCCCCAAATTTCACTCCAGGTAAAGATTGTGCATCAAAAGGTTCATATCTTTCTTGCAAAGTGAAAAGATTTTTGGTGACTGAGATAAGATAGAGATAAGAAAATGTCATTCCTTGATGACGTTCTTCTAACTTGCTACCTATCATTTATCTGATTAAATGATGTAGGCAATCTCTAAGCAAGCAGCTCTTGTAACACTGGGCTGTTCTCACTGTCAGACACAAACTCGAAAAAGCGTGAAACAAATGTTTTATTTGGTATGAAATCATTGAATATATTCAGAAATATTGATGGCAGTATATTATTTGAGATATTATTACGTGACAGTCTAAAATAGCCCCCAAAACTTGTTTTCTTCCCTAAACAATGATCACAAATGCCATATAAAATGTTAGTTTCTACTAAAGTAGTTTTATTTTTCTTGAGGCTACAATATTTGTATTGTATTTAATATTTTATTAAATAAAATTTTCGTCCCATAATGTTGCCATAGACTCTCTCACTAGTCTTCACATTTAAAATTCAACACTCTGAATCAAGATCCAAGAGATGGCAACGTTTGTATTTTAGTGATCTTAGTAACCTCAGAGTAACACAGTGCCTCCCATCCCTTTCCAGAATGGGAATTAAACCTCAATCTTTCTCCACCGTAGCTACAAAGAAAGTATATTAATAGGGTTTAGTCCCTTTACCAAAAAAAAAAAAAAAAAATAGAAAGAAAAGGAAACAGGGACTTTTGCAGTGACTTCCCCAAATGACGAGAACACATTGGGCAGAATTGCATTCAGGCCATCTCAACCTAGCAGAAGTCTCAAGGTGGAGCTGTGAAATATCCTAAACGAACCACAAAGTCCATGACAATACCGCTCCCTGCCAGAGGCAGCCACCCATGGTACGTTGCCAGCCATGCAGGCTTTCCAGAGCCATGATGAACTCCCACCATTCCAGAGGCAGCCACCCTTTGTACATTGGCAGCCATGAGGCCTTTCCAAGGCAACCCATGGCCATGCTGGACTCCCACCATTCCAGAGGCCGCCTCATTGTATGTTAGCAGCCACGCGACCTTTCCGGGACATCCCACAGCCATGATGGACTCCCACCATTCCAGAGGCAGTCACCCATCGTACATTGGCAGCCATGTGACCTCCCTTTCCAAGGCATCCCATAGCTGCGATGGACTCCCACCATTCCAGAGGCCGCCTCATTGTTTGTTAGTAGTCACATGGCCTTTCTGGGACATCCCATGGCTGTGATGTACTCCCACCATTCCAGAGGCCACCTCATTATATGTTAGCTGCCATGTGGCCTTTCCAGGGCATCCCATGGCCATGATGGATGCCTACCATTCCCCTTCGTTTCTTGCCCACAGACACTGAATTGCCACTTTATGAAGGGATATCCAGAGACCAACAACTTAATAAGTGAGCCAAAAACTGATACTTGATACTTCAAAATTCTTTGGACCACATTTCCATTTGATCTCTAAATTCTCTGGGCCCTTCACCTGCAAATGTAGGTAGCTGCTACTCTGAGAAGTACATAAGTTTGTGAGAACATAGAGTCGACCTCTACGAATATTACTCACTTTTCACACATGAGAAAACTGAGTCTGAGAATTAAAATGATTTATTTAAGGTTATACAACTGACCAATCATCATTTTATTCCTAGTATGTGTCTTTTACTAAGACTTCCCATTTTGCTGGATTTTTAACTTCATTAAAGGATCAAATACAGTAAGCTGTCAGCAAGTTTTGAGAATAGTTTCTTGAAACTCCTGGTGTCAGGGCAATTTGCAAGTGATGAAGTTAAGACTTATTGGTGGGCATAGGGCAAGAGAGTCCCCAGATCAGGAGTGAACCATATGTGAAACCCTCATAAATATCCTCATATTCACTCAAGTAAAGGAAACAGCAACACACTTAGTAAATTCAGTGAAAGCTACCTCTTGCTTACCTTAAGTGAGTCCTCACAGGTACTAAAAGACTAGGTTTTGCTTATTGCTTCCCAGGAAACTGTCCGGGCTTCCTGTCTCCAGTTTCAATGACAGATGTGTAAGTACCCTTTATATTGTGCCAAAAACACACATATGAAGAGGAGTCTTTCCCTGTGCTGGTCCCATTCTGTGGCCCAGCATCCTTCTAAACCCATGGCTGTGGGAGCTGCCCCTCCCCCATAAGCCTCTTTGTCTTACATATCTCAAGTTTTGAGACATAGACTTCCGCTTCCATCTTCCTTTCTCCTACTACTTCCTTGAGGGAACTACTACTCCTTTTCTGCGACCCACTTTGCTCCTTTAAAATTTCCAGCACCCAGCTTCCTCTTTTTCTAGTCACTTAAATTAGGAAAAACTCTACATTTAGCATTCCTACACTTGTCAGAAAAGAATCTGGAAGCCAGTCCTCGTGCCTTAGTGACTCTTTAGTTACAGGCCAAACCCCTAAAGTGAATATGCAAGTATAGCCAGTATCAGGAAGGAGCAAGACGGCCACTAAGGAGTTAACCACAGGCACATGGAGGCCAAAGAGGCACTGCCCAGTGCTAGCTGCGTGTCCAGGAGTCTCTTCCCCCTATGATCTCTCACTGTCCTCTCTACACCAGCTGTCTCCTCCTGAGTTCTTTGCTCTGACTTCTCTGCTCACCCCAGCATCTCCCCCTCTACTAATAACTGGCCAGGGCCAGAACCATGGGACTATTTAAAGCTCGCATATCCACCCCGGAAGGAAGGAGGGAGATTCACTGTTGGTAGGACTGGGTTGCTCATAGCACCAGGCCTACATCTTGGAGTTTCTGCAGAAATCCCCACTAAGGGCAGATGGACCTTTCACCTTTGCCTTCCTAATAATGTTGATGGCCTTTCGTGACGTTACTGGGATGAAGCCTAAAGACCCCCTTCCCAGTAACAGCAAAAGGAGAAGCAATCAGAGAGGATACACGTGTGTATAAACACTTGATGTTGAAAGACCCCCTCTGTCTGTTGCTAATCTCTCCCTCGCTCACTTCTGTCAGGTCTATTCTCCATCAGCATCTCCCTGTCCAGGGCACACTCCCAGGAGCAACACCTCATTTCACCCTGAGACCCCACTCCCGCTCCTCCCCGGCTGTGCTCCACCAAGCAAACTCCTCATTGTCACCAGTGTCCTGCCCATTCTCTCTCTCTTCTCTCAGTATTCAAAATACTCAGATGACCCATTCAAATTCTTCCCATTCTCTCCCCTACTATCATGTAGACATCATACTGCCTCCTTTTGAAATGAGGATTTGAACCCAAACAGCTGTTAATCGGGGTTCTAGCACCATGGTTGACTGAGCTGGGGAGGACTCTTCCCACTGTAAACGCATAGAAATGCAGAGTAGCATCAGTGTGTGTGGCTTAAGGTGAAACGAGAAATTGCCAGCTGCCAGGAACTAGGAGGAAACCTGAGGTCCCACAGTGCAGCGAGGGCCTGGCCCAACACCAGCACTGCAGAGCTTTGTTCAGGGTACAGCCCCAAGCCCCGAGGCCCCCAGGCCTCTCATTCTCTCTCAAATTCACTCTCAGCAGGCTTTCATGTCCAGTACATCCTTTCAGCATTACCTGTTTGGTGTCTGATGGACATTTCCTAATGAAAATGCCCCAAACTGACTTCTCGTCTTTCCCCAAAACCCTGTTCTCCCCACAGTCTTTCTTGCAATTAACTTGTTAGTTGCAACCTCATTCTTCCAGTTGGTCCTGTCAAGAGTCTTGGGCTCATTTTTGACTCCTCTTTGTTTCTTGTGTCCCGCCCCAGTGTCAGCAAGTCCATTAGTAGCAGGAAAAATAGAGAGATCATGACACTGAGACTATTATAGGACGTGGCACTTTATTATGCTGGCTAGCACAGCGGGCCCGAGAATCGAATGCATCCAAATCGAGCACCCCAGAACAGGAGACATGAGGTCTTATACCCTTGTTTAGGTAAGGGAGGGGGTCGTGTTAAGTGATTACATACTTCCTTTGGAATCTTACAAGGTTGTACTTAGCAAAATCAGATTTTTTTTTTTAAAGAACAAATGGTTTCCAGGAACTGCAGGCTTGTAAACCGTCAACTTCAAAAGGGAGGTTTTAGATAAGACGCTTTTCCATTTCCATGAAATAGCCAGTCTCTGGGCCATTTGGCCTTTCTTTTTTTTTTTTTTTGAAATGGAGTCTCACTCTGTCACCCAGACTGGAGTGCAGTGGCCGCTCCCAGTCACCGCAGCCTCGACCTGCTGGGCTCTGGCGATCCTTCCGCCTCAGCCTTTCGAGTAGCCGGAATTACAGGCATGCGCTACCACGCCCGGCTGATTTTTTGATTTCTTGTAGAGATGAGGTCTCACTGCCCAGGCAGATCACGAACCCACAGGCTCAGGCAATCCACTTACCTCAGCCTCCCAAAGGCGCGGGGTTACAGGCTGAGCCACTGAGCCCGGCTCATTTGGCCTTTCTTAAACAAATCCTGCCTGGCACCTGGCGGGTCTTTAAAGTTGCAACTTGTCTTTCAAAAGGAAATACCTCTCTGGGGCTTGGTGGCTCAGCCTGTAATCCCTCGCCTTTGGGAGGCTGAGGTGAGTGGATTGCCTAAGCCTGCAGGTTCGAGACCCGCCTGGGCATCTCTATTCATCTCTACAATAAATAAAAAAATTAGCCGGGCGTGGTAGTACGCGCCTGTAGTTCCAGCTACGTGGAAGGCTGAGGTGGAAGGATCCCTGAAGCCCAGCAGGTCGAGGCTGTGGTGGCCAGGAGCGGCCACTACACTCCAGTCTGGGCGACAGAGTGAGACTCCAACTCAAAAACAAACAAACAAACAAAAAAAGGAAATACCTTTAACTGCTATCAACTCCTTTCCTGCCCTGGGCTGGTGGGAGTTATCCCAGGTGATTGCCATGAGGCCAACTGCTAATCCTGAACCAGCTACATGTTTCTGTGTTTATTCACTCAATCATACAAGAAATATATTTGAGCATTTGCCGCATCCTGCCACACATTCAGCAGCACCAGCCACTTCCTGCAATGTCTTTCACTACCACTCTAGTCTCCAGGACAGCTGTCCCCCACCTACTCGACCAAAGTCACCTCTAATGTGTCCTCCCTGCTCTCAGCCCTGGTCCTGTCTGTTCTCACAGCAGATAAGCAAGTCTAACTAAACGCAAGCAAGATCATATCCTTTCTCTGCTCCCGAGATTCCTGCTGTGTCCTGTCTTAGAGTGGCACAGCCAAAGGTCCTGTGTGATCTGTCCCAGTCACTGGGTCCTTCCTCCACCCTCCCTCTGCACCTATTTCTCACTTGTCCTCAGAGCCACTGGTCAGATGCCCGCTCTGGGCAGGAGGGACCATCATGACTGGATCATGCTTTAATCCCTCTCTCCTTGGGATTTTTGCATTTGTCAGACTTTGACTAAAGGGGAGAACTTACTAAAAATGGAATATTCCATCATTTTTAAGGCTTAAGGGGAACTCCTTGGGAGGAAGTAGCTTCCAACTCACCTCCTGCCGTGTTTCTGAAGTCACATAGTTTGATTAGGGTGTGACATGGCAGACATTAACACAGTGATAATTTCCAATGTTTCAAAGGTTTCATTGGACTTCAGAACTAATAATCTTTCTTAGTTCCCCTTTTCCCATTGTCCTTAAACAGTCATAGATAATGACTTCTGCTTTTCCTTTACATCTTGCCTTTAGAGAAGTCAAGCAATCAAATAGTCTTTGGGTGGAGTTCAGAGACAAATATTTACCTCTATATGTAACTGGAACTAGAAACGTCAGTGCCCAGAAGTTGCTTTTCTTCGAAAGGGGTTGTCTCCTGATCAAGTTCTCTCTACAGCTGCCCCTTTGGGTGCTGGCATGTGGCCCGGGGTCTTCACAGCTTTCCTTTCCTTCACAGTAGGTGTCTGCTCGGGGCTGAAGGTGACAGTGCCATCATACACTGTCCATGGCGTCAGGGGCCAGGCCCTGTACCTCCCTGTGCACTACGGGTTCCACACACCGGCATCAGACATCCAGATCATCTGGCTGTTCGAGAAACCCCACACGATGCCCAAGTATTTGCTGGGCTCTGTGAATGAGTCGGTGGTTCCTGACCTGGAATACCAGTACAAGTTCACCATGATGCCGCCCAACGCGTCTCTGCTCATCAACCCACTGCAGTTCACTGACGAAGGCAGTTACATCGTGAAGGTCAATGTCCAGGGGAATGGCACTCTGTCCGCCAGTCAGAGGGTGCAAGTCACTGTCGACGGTGAGTCCGCTCGGAGTGTACACAGGCAGCAGGCTGCCTGGGAGCAGGCACAGGCTTAGGGGGGCTCTAGGTCCTAGGTCTGCTGCTCTGTGCAAGTCACTTACCCTCAAAGCCTCCTTGTCTTGTGGCACTAATGGCATGGCCTGCCTCACAGAACCTACAGAGCAGTGAATGAGGCATACGTGTGAGGAGCATGCCTAGGGCCCAGGAGGGGCAGTCAGACCACGGGTCTGGCTTGATTATGTGTCTGTCTGGCACTGTCAAGTGTAAGTTGTGGATGCAATGAGCTGGAGGGAATCTTACTTCCTCAGTAGGAGAATGCACCAAGAAAGAGCCTGTTTTTGTCTTGTGAAGATTTGTATTTTCGTGCCCTGTTTGGGGGAGACTGGAACCTACTCCAAGAACCCCCCTTGAGGGATAGGAATGCCTGGGAATGTCCCCTGAGGGGAGTGGGCAGGTTGCTAACCTCAGGATTGTTTTCCTTCTTGCCATTGTAAGCAGCACCCCTGAATATGCAGAGCTGCTTTGGATTTTTCTTGCCAAACCTGTTTGTTTGACAAGAATCCCCATTTTAATAAACAAACCCCATTCTAGCAATTGCTTGGGCAGAAGCCCCTCTTCTCACATCCACATCTGTCCACAGGAAAGCCCTGCTGGCTTTACCTTCAGGATATAGACAACCTCCAGCTTCTCATCATCCCGCTGCTGGCCTGCACAGCACCCCCAGCTGTGCCCTTTGCCGTTCTAGCTGCCTCCTGTCTCCTAGCTTCCATGCCCCCCCAGCCTATCGTCTCCCCACAGCTTCTGTCTCACTCAGGATGGAAACCAAAGCACCCGCCACAACCTGCGAGCCCACCACCCCCCACTGCCCATGTCCCTGCACTGCCCCACCCCGTTCGCACCCTTCTCTCAGTCTGCTCCAGTACACCAGGCTCCTCACTCTTCCTAGGACAGGCCAGACTCACCCAACCTCGGGGCCTGCGGACCTGCTGTTCTCTCCAACACACGGGCACAGCCCCTCCCTGGTTTCCTGTAGGTTTCAGCCCCAAGGTCATTTTTTCTGTGGAACCTTTACTCTTCCCCATGTAAAATACAGTCCGCCTCCCAACTACACTCCCCCACACACATGTGCACACAGACACACACACATATGCACACACATGCACGCATACACACACACAAGCCTAATCCCTTGCCATCTCTAGCCCCGCTTTCCTCTTTTTTCCCAGCACTGCCAACAGCCTGGACATATTCTCCATTCCCATGGGTTTGCTATTTCTCTTCCCAACTAACACATGGGGTCCCTAGGAGAGGGAACTTGTCTGCATTGTTGGCCACTTTGTCCTCCATGCCCAAAGCTTTTGCTCCAACTCAGTAGCTCTTTGGGAGGTAAGCGAGTGGCCACAGAGGAGACCAGAGGCTCCAGGGAGCAGAGAGGCCAGGTGCGGAGACCTGTGACTAGAGAGAACATGAGGGGAGAGACAGAGAGGCCCAGAGGGAGTCTTGTGAGCTCCCCTGTGGTGTCCTGCCTCTCTCCAACACTTTTACTGGAATATCCTTCCTTGTTTATCAGCATTAAGGCTGGATCTGTCTAGGGCAACGCAACCGAAAAATTAACAAAGCCTTGGTAGGGTTCCAGGGCCAAGTCAACCTTCTCCTCAGAAGGGAAACTCCCCCTCTGAGTCTCCTGGTCATCCAAGTGTCTGATCACATTGCTGATGACTGACTACTCTAAGGATCAGTCCTGCCATCAAGCCGTGGACATGTTGCCCACCCTCCCATACCACGCATGTTCCCACACACAGAACAAGTGCGCTCCACTCATTGTTCTTTTTCGATCATAACAACGTAAACACAAAGTTCTTCCACACCTCTTGTTCCTGCCAGGGAAGATGAAGGACTGAACTAGGTAGACAAGCCATTGGGCGCCTGCACCTGTGGGGGCTGGAGGCCCACAGCACCCTGCAAGCTGCCCTCCCCTCCTCCCTACCCTTCTGTCTTCTCCGGGCTGGGGAATTGGGTCTGTTTTCTGTATAAGACAATGTGAGCATGAATAGAAGTCAATGTACCTGAAGAAGATGTGTCTACCCTAGTTCGGAGTGTGCTGGGACCTGCAGCTGAACATTGCAGGCAGCCTTTGCCCTTGTCTGCCGCCACCATCCCATGTCCCATGGTTGTGCGTGGAGGAGACCATGGCTACCTCTCTCTCCAGGACCAAGGGTAGCGTTGCCAGGCCAAAAGCCCACCTCATTTAGTTGCTGACTGTTGTGGAACTCTGAGCAAGTCACTGTTTCTGTCTAATAGAGTCTAGAACCTCAAAGATGAATGAAAATGGTTAGAAATGGTTGTGGGAAATCAATCCCTTGATGGACCCTTGCCCATCCACCTTCTAGTTAAAATTCAGAAAAAAATACTTATTCATTCTTGAAAATGTATTATTTTGACAAGTATTACTAACTGTCTACTGTATGCCAGACCAGAAATAAAGACAATTTTCCTATGACTTGACTTTCCAACAAGAATTTCTGTTGGGATTTGCCTTTCATATCTCTAATTTGTTATAATACCCAAAGTGTATTTTCTCCTTTCTTCGGATTGAGTTGGTGTTGACATATGGGCTCTGGTTTGTCCAGGTGACTGACATAAAGTTGCAACACAAATGCAGAGCAACTAAAGTGCATAATTACTTCCACATCGAAAGAAAGGTTGTGCCTGTGCGAGCCTCTGAAATGTCCCTTCAGTTTCCCCAAAGCAGACTATAGATAAGCTGTATATTTTGCAGATGGCAGGTAGAAATTTGGGTTCTCCACACCTACCTCATAGCTGCTCCGGGCACACTGGGACCTCTTAGCGGAGAGGAATGGCCGTGTACACTTGGCCTGTGAGCCTGTGCCTTTGAGGCTGGGAACAGCACCATGCACAGGGAATGTGGGAGCCAATCCTCAGCCACTGATCGCAGGATCTGAGAAGTAAAGATACATCTCAAGGAGCAAGCTCTGTTGTTCCCCCATCTCTGACAACTGATGGCAAGTTTATATCTTTCCATTTTGCGCTGAACATGACTTTTATTTTCTCTATTGTTGCCTAAGCCAGCAACATGTACAGTGTCCAACACTGGAATTAATATTTGCAAGACCCTGATTATAATTCCATGAGTGGAAAAATCATCCCATCTCTCTTGAGTTACAGATCCTGTCACAAAGCCGGTGGTGTGGATCCATCCTGCCTCTGGGGCTGTGGAGTATGTGGGGAACATGACCCTAACGTGCCGTGTGGAAGGGGGTACTCGGCTGGTCCACCAGTGGCTGAAAGATGGGAGGCCTGTCCATACCAGTTCAACCTACTCCTTCTCTCCCCAAAACAACACCCTTCATGTTGCTCCCGTGACCAAGGACGACATCGGGAATTTCAGCTGCCTGGTGAGGAACCCAGTCAGTGAGATGGAAAGTGATGTCGTCACACCCGTCATATATTGTAAGTTTTGAAAAATGCTCATGAGTTGTTTTGTTTTTGTTCTTTGGGGGGTTTTTTAAGACATTCTCACAGAGAATGTGACAGAGAATGTAAGTACCACATGTCGTTTGGCTTTTGCCATTATTGTAGCTCAGCACTAGCTCTAATCACACCTTTTAGGTGTTGTCTAGTCATAAAATATCTACTAGCACAACCCCATTGCTTGAAGAGAAAGCTGAGAGACTGGCCAGGGGTCACTCCAGTTGTATTTTGTGATTCAGTCCATTGTGTGACCACATTTCTAGTGGTAAGCAAAAATCTCCATTTCAAGAACCCAGAACCATGGAGAGGCTGCAAAGAAAAAAACTGAAAGAATGCCTTGAGAAGAACTTTCTTCTTCTCTAAACATTGCCATTCCTAATCTAACAAGCTTTTTTTTTTTTACAGCAAACTATTTTCTTTACATCAATTATTTCTTTTTTATTATTTATTTTATTTTATTATGGGGTGTGGGGTACAAGTCAGGATTAGGTACATAAGTAATGCATGTGCAAGTTAAGTTTGGTGCTCCAACTGGCTGGTCCTTACTTCTCCTGGTTCAGGACCAAGTACCCTTTGTGCTGTTATGTGCCCCCTCCCTGCCCTGGCAGTGTCGAGAGACTGCTGATCCCTCCCTTGTGCTAATGTGATTAATAGGTCCCACTTATGAATGAGAACAGGTGGTAGTCAGGTCTTTGTTTCTGTGATAGTTCACTTAGTACGATAATCTCCGACTCCATCCAATTTGCTGTGAAGTCCATGATTTTGTTCTTCTTTATGGCTGCATAGTACTCCATCATGTATATGTGCCACATTTTCTCTTTTATTCCTCCTCTTTTTAAAAAATTTTATTTTAAAGATGTGGGGTACAATTCAGGATTAGGTACAGAAGTGGATATCGTACAGATCAAGTTTAGGCCTACCTTTGGTCCCCATTTTGTCTGGTTTGAGATCAGGTACTCTTATTAATGTTATGTACCTCCCTTCCCCTTGCAGTTATCAGCTACTGCCATTCCTTTTCTTATAGTATTATAGTACCACATTTTATTTATCCAGTCCCTTTTTGATAGGGAGTAGGGTTGGTTCCATTTTCTGCTATTGTGAATAGTGTAGCTATAAACATGCACGGGCAGTTGTCTTTTTAGTAGAAGGATTTATATTCCTCTGGGTATACTTTCAGGAGAGGGATCGCAGGATCATATGGGAGTTCAATTTCTAGTTCTTTTAGGAATTGCCACACTGCTTTCCGTAGAGGTTGGACTAGCTTGCATTCCTACCACACCTGCACTAGCATCTGTTTTTTTTCCTTTATTGAATTTTTTAATTAATGATGGTCATCCTTACTGGAGTTAAGTGGTATCTCAATGTGGTTTTGTAGCAGGAAAAATAGAGATCATGACACCGAGACTATTATAGGAAGTGGCACTTTATTATGCTGGCTAGCACAGCACAGCGGGCCCCGAGAATTTCATGCATCCAAATCAAGCTCAAGCACCCCAGAACAGGAGACGTGGGGTTTTATACCCTTGTTTAGGTAAGGGAGGGGGGTCGTGTTGAGTGATTACATATTTCCTTTGGAATCTTACAAGGTTGTACTTAGCAAAATCAGATTTTTCAAAGAACAAATGGTTTCCAGGAACTGCAGGCTTGTAAACTGTCAACTTCAGAAGGGGGGCTTTAGATAAGACTTTTTTTCATTTCCATGAAATAGCCAGTCTCTGGGCCATTTGGCCTTTCTTAAACAAAACCTGCCTGAAGCCGGGCAGGCCTTTAAAGTTGCAACTTGCCTTTCAAAGGGAAATACCTTTAACTGCTATCAACCTTTCCTTCTTGCCGCTGGGCTAGTGGCAGCCCAGGTGAGGCCAACTGCTGATCCCGAATCAGCCACATGTGCTTCTGTGTTTATTCACTCAATAATACAAGAAATATATTTGAGCGTATGCCGCCTCCTGCCACAGTTTTGATTTTCATTTCTCTGTACATCAGTCCTTTCTTATTGTTATTAATCTGCTTGTTTCTCCATCCCTACTATCTGTCTTTATACTCTAGCCATAGATTTCAATGAAAAATTCCTGGGGAAAATTGCACAAACAATTATAGGCACTTTGTTTTGCTACATAGTTCATCTTAATCTGGCAGAGTGAAAATGAGATCATTCTTTCAACATGTGCAAGTCTATGCACCAATCTCACTATTGTCACAGTATTTCCACTGTGATACATGATAGAAAATATAAAAATAAGAGGAAAAGTCATAATTGCATCTTCAAGTTACATTTTATGCTTTAGGCTTCTAAACTTTCTTTTCTTCTCTGTGTTAGTTGAAAGAATTAAAATCCCAATTTGAGTAAGTGTATGTTTCACAGAACATATCTTCTACTTACAGATTGAGCTTTCTTCTTTATATTATTTTACATTATGAACCTAGCCTATGAAAATCTCACAGAGAAGCATCTATCTCAAACAAAGACTAATGACAGAGAGTAGAAAGATGAACATTTAGAAAATTTACACTGTGGGTTCTGTTTACACACCTAAAGGTTAATTATCTACATGACTTAAGAACAATTTTGGCTTATTAATTGGCTATTATGAATATAATATTGTTAATTTTTGCCTTGATTATTTTTATGTTCGAATGCAAAGTTCTTCACTCATCAATAGTCATTCATTCACCTATTAATTAAGTTACTCACTCATTCATTTATCATTCATTTCCTTAAAAAAATCAAACATCAGCCGGGCTCAGTGGCTCAGCCTGTAATCCCGCGGCTTTGAGAGGCTGAGGTGAGTGGATTGCCTGAGCCCGCGGGTTCGAGACCCACCTGAGCAACTTGGCGAGACCTCATCTCTACAATAAATCAAAAAATTAGCCAGGCGTGGTAGTGCGCGCCTGTAATTCCAGCTACTTGAAAGGCTGAGGCGGAAGGATCGCCGGAGCCCAGCAGGTCGAGGCTGCGGTGGCCAGGAGTGTGCCACTGCACTCCAGCCTGGGTGACAGAGTAAGACTCCAACTCAAAAAAATAAAAAAAAAAATCAAACATCAGGGTTTGTCTGTGCTAAGTAATTATGACCCGCCACATAACATATAGAAACAACTCAAGCTCGTTAATTAAATAGTTTTTTTCCTTCTATCACCACTTTAGCCCTGTTTTAGTCTTTTGTTGTTGTTTTCTTGCTTTGGGGTGACAGATATTAAATGAAATGTATACTGTGATCGGAAGATTTGTCATTTATCCTATCTGTTGATATGGCATCTTCATCATTCTATGGAAGCAAAAAACATGTACCTTGGCTGGTGTTCTTTTCACTTCTCTCTTGGTCCATTACCTCATCTTCCTCCTGACATCAGCTTCTACAGAGAGCGCTGCCTGGCCCCTTCAACACCAGGCCATGGGGGAGGAGGTGTCCCATGTTCTGCAGTACCCCCACACATGCTCTGTCCTCACCACGGGTGATTTCCTGAACTCTCCTCCACTCGTGAGCTTCCCAGCCACAACAGAGTTCCTGGTTACTTATTTTTGTGACTAGGAAAATTCTTGACATAGGTTAAGCACTCAGTAAAGGTTCTTGAGCTTGACTAAGATGAAACATTCTGTTTCTTCATCTCCCGTTCAGTTCCCAAAGTCTCTCGATACTGTAAAAAGGCTAAATTCCCAGGATGAGATGACCGCTTCTCCATTATAGTACTTTGGCACTTTTTTCCTAACCTTTGGCAAAATTCCTCAGCGAGCTAATAAATGTCATATTCCAGTAATCCCCCACGGAGGTCCACATCACACCTGAGAACTCCAGCCTGAACCACCTATTCTGTTTTCTAAGGACACTATTTCCATTCAGGTCTCCTTCATGAAAGCAGTGATTATTTTTTATTTTGGCAAAACATATATAACAAATCTATTGACATTGTATATTTATGACATTATGATATCATAATCTGGTATTGGCCTTGGTGGGATCCAGTGTCAGGCTGAGAGTTCAGACAAGTCTCGCCTGCAGTTTACAAAGTGTACATGCCTTCTGACTCCAGTTGTAAGTAACAATCCACAGCCACTGAGCTTGTGTGTGGCATATGGCCCTCTTGCAGGGGAGAGCTCTGAGTGATAAAAATTAAAGGAAGAAAAGGTCATTCACAGCAAATACTTACCATCTGCTCCCAAACAGGGTGGCAAACAGCATCATGATGTAAATTTAAGTACTGTTCCCGCCCAGCCATAAATTGTTAAAGAGAACAGATGATAAGTGACTTTACATGTTGATTAGTAAAGGCTGTTCCAGAGGCAAAGGTTTCATTTCCAATGGTCTCATTTCCATTGGAAAAGAGAACTCTGCTGAAGGCGAGAAAGCAAACCATCATCCAAAGTTGTGGCGTTTCCCTTCTGCTTCCATCTTCAGCACAGAGGCCACTCCAGATAACTCCCTGGGGCTGCTGGGTTGTCATGCGCTTGAGTAATGTCCTGGGACGCACCTCAAAGTGAAGGGAGGGTCAACATGGAGTGCCCATGATAATGAAAATAACATCATAGGTAGTCAGAGGAAAGTGGGCAGTTAGCAGTGTGTAGAGTGTGTGATACAGATAGGCACATGTGTGTGTAGTGTGTGTGTGTGTGTGTGTGTGTGATCAAAAGAGCTGCATAGAAGAAGACTTGAAGATCGTGCACTGAATGTGGACATTGGTCCTCTGAGCAGTGAAATTACAAATGAATTTTCATCTTTGTGCTTCTCTGAATTATAGAATTTCTGCAACGTACATGTATTTCTTAAATAATCAGATAAACTATGTTACCTTTTAAGAAATCATATTAGAAGAAAAGAACTCAGATGTTTCAGATTGTTAGGTTTCAGGAGCTGGAAGAGATGCTTGGGACGAGAAGCAGGGGAGTTTGAGAGATTTAAGCCTGACCCTGAAGAGCCAGATACACTATTTAATTAAAGCAGACAGTGAAACCAGTATGCCAATCATGAAACCCAGCAAATGAAGAAATGGCAAAACCCAAATAAACAGGATGAGTAAAGAAGATAAACTAAGACAGTCAAACTCCATTCTTTAAAAGTATTTTTTTAAATTTTAACCTAGAATGATGTTATTAAATTATGTTAGTGACCTTATTCACCAGCCTTGGCTCTAAATGAGTGGGGCTTCCTCTGCAAATTAAACCCACCCTTGCAATTGGAACTAAAGAATCACTGCTTGAGAGAATATGCCATTATGTCACAAGTCCTCAGGCAATTTCAGATGAGAAGTTCCCAAAAAAGTCTTGAGTAATGTTGCCACACTTTGAAAGGTTAACACTCATTTTTAGGTGTGCTGAATTGCTAAACAACTTGCTTTTATAGCACATTCCATATACCCTGACAACCAACAGGAAGATGAAGGCCTAAATTGAGACTGCGTTTTTCTGACCACACTTCTCACCACTGGGGCTGCCTGGCTCTTTGCTCAGGACTGGCTCTCAGATTTTAGTGTTCGTGCATGGACTCAGGCTTCTTGCTCCTCCAGACTAAGGCCACTTCCTCCACTGATCTCCTGACATGTGAATCATGGCCAGGGCTCCCGGCTGATGACCTTTGCTTCCCTAATGTTCTGTCAGTGCTGGCATCTTGAAGGGACCTGCCAGGGCATAGAGCCTGGATAACAGCCACAGGATGTTCTCACCATCTCAGCAAAGCCACACCTCACTATTGGCTTGGGTTGAGTGAGTGAAAACAAATGTGTTCCCCTTACACTGCTGACTATTTAGTGGAATTCAAAGTAAGAGGGTTCCATGTTGCATCTCACTGTCCTAAACCTCTTGTCACGGTGGTTTACCTAAGACTGCAGCACAGCCTAAAACCTTCCCACCCACCCCAGGGGAGGGTCTTGACTTTCAGTTCCTGATTACTTTAAATTTGAAGGTACTAACTTCCATGTTTTCTTCCTGAAAACAGGGTTGCTTCATGTAGACATATAACTAAAAATCTTCACATTTCTTCATGTCTCTAGAAAGAAAACGCATAGAAGTTCTGTTCCCTAGCTAGATGGCATCTATTCTGCCTCTTCAGTTCTTGTTACCCTTAGAAAATGTGCTTGCCCGATGGTAGACTGGTCAGAAAATGCTGACATAATAAAGAGTCACTCTGGGAATCTGCAAACTTGAGATTGTCTTGCCAATAAGCAAAATAGCTTTGGCGTGGCATGAATTGTGGTGTTTCAGGCACTAGCAAGAACCTGGCAAGGAATCATCTAATCTATCTTTTTATTAAAAGGTGAGGAAGTGAGACCCAAAAAGCTTAAGTGATTTCTACAGGACTCTGAACTAATGATTGACAAAATTAGTTACCTCAATGTCTGATTACTACATTGCATTATCCCACATGTTGAGAGATGAATAGTTGATACTTTTAAAAAAATCAAGACCTTAGAGATTAGGTCATTATTGAGCAAGCCATCCCTAGACTTCCCCAGCTTGTAAAGTCTTTGGGACTACAAATCGTGTCTTCCACTTCCTTCTTTTTTTTTGAGTTGGAGTCTCACTCTGCCGCCCAGACTGGAGTGCAGTGGCTGCTCCCGGCCACCGCAGCCTCAACCTGCTGGGCTCTGGCGATCCTTCCGCCTCAGCCTTCCAAGTAGCCGGAATTGCAGGCATGCACTATCACGCCCGGCTAATTTTTTGATTTATTGTAGAGATGAGGTCTTGCTGCCCAGGTGGGTCTCGAACCCGCAGGCTCAGGCAATCCATTCACCTCAGCCCCCCAAAGGCGCGGGAATACAGGCTGAGCCACTGAGCCCGGCTTCCACTTCCTTCTAGCTCTCATTTGCTAAAGATATTATCTTGGATTTAGGATCACTCAAATATATTTGATTGCTTGATTGGCTAATTATAAAATTAATATATAATTAGACAATAATCTTTTAATTTTATTTACAGATGTGGGGTACAATTTAGGATTAGACAATAATTTATTGTAAAACTGATAATATAGTTAGACCACAATAAACTATTATAATATATAAAGTTATACTGTTTATACCTTTATCTCTTTAGTATAGTAAGACGAATGACTACATGCATAAAATTTAGATCTGCTATTTAACAGCTAAATAACCATAGCAAGTACATTGTTTAAATATCTCTTCCTTCATCTTATAATTAGAATAATACCATCTATTTCATGGTGCTTTTTTAAAATATTAAGTGTAGTTGTCTGTAGAAGCATTTAGTTATTTTACTCAGCAAATAGCCAATAAATTTTGATAATGTCCAGCTGAAAAATGAACATGAGCCTACCTAAAACTCAAAGTTTTTGAGACTATAAGCCAGGATTTAGGCTGAATTAGACAACTTGTCTGATTGGGGAATACTTTTTAAAATCTCTGTATTAATTCTTTGAAGAAAGCAATGGGAAATGTGTCTTCGTCTGCTGGCAATCGATGGTAGAATGCCACAGGAATACTGCAATGTGAGAAAAAACATGGGGGGCTATCCATGAATAAGAGGTTATTAATGATCAATGACTATTTTTTAATGGTAATGAAGATGTATTTTTTCCAACAGCAATCCTAAGCTTAGCTTGGGGAAAAAAAAAATTTTAAGAATTGTTAAAATGTTATGAAAATATAGAACACACCTATGTGTATTTTCATAAACCTGTGCTCCATGTGAAACTATGTCTTTTATAAATATTTACATGGCTATCTTAGCACTGAGGAAAAACATAGGTAATATGGAAAGTATGGTTGTCAAAGAGAAAAAGAGAGGTCATAATCTATTATAAAAACATTGCCAAATGCAGTGACCGTTTCAGAAAGATTGAGTCTGCGTATGTGGAAACTAAAAAAATTGATCTCCTGGAAATAGAGAGCAAAAGCGGTTACAACATGGCGGGGGCGGGCAACCACAAGTTGGGTAGTGGATACTGGATACGAACATGGTCGGTGGACAGCTAGACAGCAGGAGTAGGACCTTGCATTTTACAACACAATATGGTGACTATAGTTAAAGCAGTTTAGGGTATATTTTCAAGCAGCTAGAAGAGCAGATTTTGAATCTTTCCAACACAAAGAAATGATAAATATCTGAGTGATGGACAGGTTAATTACCCTGATTTGATCATTACATGTAGTATAAGTGTCAAAAATCATACCGTATCCCATAAATATGCATAATTATTATTTGCCAGTTATAAATAATAACACAATAAAATAAAGCAGAATATACAAAAATAAGCTA